AGGGGGCTCAGAACCCTCGTTGGCTTGTCTGCCGCAGAGTACTAGTCGGACTGACGGGTACTGCATCAGCAGTCTCAAGATCTCCCTCCAGTTCAAAACCAGGGTGGACCGGTCTCGAACTAACAGCGGATGCAGAGGCGCGTGACCTAAAACGCACAAACAGAAAGTTCTACCGAAAAGAATTGATAACTGTGCATTAGTCATTATGTCAAACAGGCGAGTGGTTCATGGTGATTTCCACGTATAAATAAGAAGAAAATGCGATCTCTGCAGGCGTGTGCTTATACTCATGAAATTCCAAAATTAAACAATTTTCCATCGTATGAGAGTGAAATAATATGATACTTGGTAGTGACTAAGGACGGTGATGGCTGTGCCTGCACACTTCTAAGACCGATGATAGTTTAACCGTCGTTAGCGACGATTTCCACTGTGTGCCCAACAGCATTGTCGACGCAGGGACGGTGTCTTGCTCATCATTAAGTTTGTTAACGTAGCAGACTTGCGCCTCATCTACCGCACTCGCCCTCCTTCTCACTCCTCTGGACCCAATGTGGTTAAAAAGGCAAGAAGACCGGAGGCGGAAGAGGAAAGAGGTGGCTGGTGCGGCGTGTAAACAGCCCCTAGGCGTTTAATTACACCCGCTATTCTACGCACAGAGGACATAGAATGAGGAATATTCACTGAAACACTCGACCGCACTCACAGGCACCAGTCCACAGTTTGACGGGGTGGCAAACAGGGCTATATAGCTGGTCTGTGTGTACCACATACACGAGCTTGCTCCCCAACAAAATACAATAAGGAATTTTAGACAAACGGGGTGAACTTCCCCAAAGCACACACACAACGGAAGAACCACATAGAGGAGAAGCCGATGAACACACTTCTCGCTTACATGAAAGGTGCCTGCTTTTTACCTGTGGTGTGTTCCTGTTTGGGTAAAATGCTCGTGAAGAGATATGTGGTGATGTGTTATGACCGGCGGTGTCCGTTTGCTGATTTTCATGGAGACGTAACTTACTGTGGCCGCCTCAACCCTCTCGTTCATGTGGGTTCCTAGCTGCCCACCCATTTTGTGTTAAAAAAGAAAGCCGGTGTGTTACGTGAGGCCGCGTCGTGCGTGGCACGCATAGGCGGGCTGATTACCTCTCGCAGTCACTTGTGTCGAATCCCTACCGAAAACATGCACATGTACTGAAGACCAGATC